GTCTGGCCTCAGCCCACTCTGTCTCTCTACCCCGTCCCATCTCTCTTTGTTCCATTGTAGGGGTTTTATAAAGCAACATCACAGATCAGCCACCAGCAGTAATAATCCCTCTCTTGTCAGAATCCTTTTTACAAGATGACTGGCTGCGATCCAAGCCTGCAACCGGATGTGGACACAAAAGCTGAACAAACCAAACAAGCCACGATGGGCATTATTTTTGTGTCATCATCTGCTTGAATATGGACGAATGGGCTTTTACTAAATCAGCGTTATAGATGGATTTTCACTAATGGGTTTACAGGAAAAAAAGCAACAGAGGTATTTTGAAAACGATTCTCACATAGTACTTCTACTTTCTTGCCATTTGCTGCTGTAACTGTGAAATAAATGAAATGCAGTAACAACTTGTTTACAGTCACATCCACTAGATAGAAGAGTAAATGAATAGAGACTTCTAGGATTAGTTAACTTGTCAATTCGGTCAAATGCAAATTTAGTTCAGTGCCATGTACAAGGCAGCTATTCATGAGACCAAGAGTAGGCTAAAAGAAACATCAAGGCCTGATGAATGGAAATTGAATCTCATTAGCCTGGGACTTTTCATGTCATGAATAAATGAGAATCTCGCTGCATTAAATCTTCACTGTTTCTTGAAGACTGTGAGAAGGTGCCATAATTTGTATTCATGTGTTTTACACCCAACACAAAGGTTCGTTGCTAGTTTCATTGTAGCTAGTCACCATACAGCTCCAATGTTGTTTTAGAACTTGTGTCCATCTGAACAACCATGGTTGCGTTGTTTTTCAAATGTTGGCTTTAGCGTTAGCATTGTTGTCGCTTTGCTGTCTTGATGGCAGTGGAAAGCGATAGCGTCCATTTGACCAACAAAAACCTGGACTGTCGTAGTATTATTTTGAGCACACCTTAGTAAGATAGCAATATGTGACTACATAGGCGGTTACGTAATGCACATACACTCTGCTCATTTCACTCAAAGATGGTCTGCACACTTTCACTTTGCACATGAGCAGATCTCTGCACAGAAGTGTTCCTCATTCTAAAGTCTACCGTTACAATAGCAATGCGAAAAAACACACATGGCTTTTTAAGGCAGCGGGTGATGGCACCCTTTATTGCATGTTCTGCCCAAAAATCACCCATTAATAATTAGGAGACTCAGTACAACCAATTTTGAACAATGCACCTGGTGAAGCAACCTTTATTTCGACCTTTAAACTTGCAAAAGTGGATTCGGATGTACCCTGAATGCTCTTGCTCCTTGACCTTTAGACCAGGCTATTGTGACTTTAGTGAGAGAGCAGTTTTTTTAAGCTACTGTATGTGAGTTTTCATACAATTTCACATATAGTTACCTCCACCAAATGCTTATGGATTCATCCACGTCTGTTTGTTGATTTAATTGTCAGCAGGACCATTACATTTCTTTGAATTGAATTGAATTCCTTTCCTAGACATTAATGTGTAGGATTGTTCAGCCTTGGTAGAGGTATGCTAACTTATTGCTTTGAATTCTGCCAATGAACAGTCTGACCTGTTTTTGTGATGCGTTTTTGTTGCCAGTGGATTAAGGATTCACTGTGAAAATGATTCATCTGCTCCAGAGAGATAAAATGTGCCTGGCTGACTTTCAAAGAGAGAAGAGGAAGAATTAAGGAAGACTATACTGGAACTTTCATTTACAGAAGCTGAGTGTTTTTATGGTTTTTCAGGATCTGATATTTGAAGGTGTCCTTCTACATGGGTCTCAGTTCTCAGTTTCATGGACAGTCCCTAACAATGTGTGGCCAGTCGAGTGTGTCACACTCGTGTTTCGAGGAACAGGTGGCAGTGCTGCTTGGTCTTTAAGGCCTTTGTCAGTTATAGTCAACTGTAATGTCAGCCCTGACACAAGCTGGTCTCACTTGCTCTTTTCCCTGGCTGCTGTCTGTTGCACTGAGCTCTTACTGTCATTACCTAAGATTAGCCTTTTTTATATTAGTATATGTGCCGATTCTAAAGAAGCTTTATTTCATAGATAAAACAATGCATAAAAATGCTTTGGTTGTTAGAAGTGGTAACAGTCCGTAGTTTGTCTATAACCAATTGTAGTTTTTGGATTTTATCTTTATTTAGTTTCTAAATAAAGATGTTTACAATGCACAAAAGATGTGGATTTATGATGATAAAACAGTTCTATGTATTAGTGTTTATGGTTAAACTTTAAAATATCAAGTCTCAATTACATGTCTTTGTCTTAAAGGTTTGATTACATCTTAGGAATAATTTTCCCAATATTGGCATCGCCATCAGTTCCCAAGAAAATCTGTTTCGTTCAGGCGCTATTTATTTTTTTGAAAAAAATGATTAACCTCATGAAGCTGAGATTAAACTACAACAGTGACTCAGAACAAACAAGAGAGTATTAATCCTCATCATTTTCATCATAGTCATAACCAGATAGTGTTCGTATTGTCAATTCATCAATCATCATCCTTCACCTGCCAGTGTTTGTCTTTTATCTTAATTACCTCGATGTCTGTCATCCATTCATGCATGTGTAATCATCATAAATGGGACTATAAACGAATTAGTTTGTCACTGTAGACATGTGCTGACGTGAGGTGGCATTTTGAGGTCACGTAGCACAGGATGACCTCAGAAGTCAGCGTGTTCTAACAAACATGGTCTCCTGTTGAGCTTGTCTATGTAGTGTTTTCAATAGATCTAAATTTTGTGTTTGCATCCAAATGCAAAGTCTGACTGATGTGTATATTGTATTTTGTGTGAACATAGAAGCACACACTTCATACAACTGAGGCTGGACACTGTTTCTTTCTTGTTACTTGCTGTGCGTGCGTGCATGTGTGCGTGCATCTACCCAGCTGTGTGGTGCATCCCTCAGAGTTTCAAACACTTGGCAAAGCAGACAAGAAGCTTCGCAGCAGTTTGGAGAAACTCCAGCACCGACCAACTTTCAGAGAAGAAAGTCTTGGCTTTTGCTCTCCACGTCTTTTCCTACAGTCTCTGTTATAATAGCATGTTCACTCAATTAAGGCACCAGTGTAGGTTGTAATTAAGTTGGGAGTTTTCTCTTGGCTCCAGCCAGAGGCAGCCATGCTTGCATGAAGCAATGCAATAAATTGAAGATGACGTTCTAGAAGTATATTCTTTTTGTTGGTGCCTTTTAAGTCATCTGTTCTGTGCTCTCAGTGTTAAAAATAGTCTGCTCCTTTAGCTGATTCTGTGGTGAGTATGATTCTGCAGCTTCTGAACATTACAAATACCAGCAGCATTACCACCCGCTGCTTAGTCAATATGTAGAAGCTATTGGTTGTGTCTGGAAATCTTAAAATCTTTCTTCATTCAAGTCTTTGTTTCAAGGACAAATTATGTCGTCTGTATGTATATTAGAACCATAAGATTTCAGGTTCTTTAATGTAAGCTGGTGCTTCAACTCATCCCCCTTCATCTGTCCTGTTTATCTGCCATCAGCTCCTGAGTCCCAGTAATGTGGAGGTTTCTTGTTAGAAGATCCGTGAAACTGGTTTTTGGGGTTTGAATAGTATTCTTATTAAAATTTTCTGAAACACATCTAAGCAAACAGTCCTTTTTAAACAGGCATGTTTCGAATGGAATGGAACTGCACATGTACACTATAAAAGAGGCAAAGTTATACAGCTATCTAGAACTGTTAAAAGTTCTATTGCCATGAATAATTTAGGAATGACTCTATGCCTTTCCCATTAGTTCTTGTAGCTTTTCTCAAACATTACTTTGAACATGCAGTGTAATCAAGGTTGTACACAAATAAGATACATGTATTTGATGTATGCATAATGCAATATGTTAAACAAATAAGGCTGGGTGATAAAATCATATGTCTTCACTCAAGAGAAAGTTATTATACAATATGGGGACAAAGGTCTTTGACACTCAAAAATGTGGAAATTAAATGCATATGCTGAATTTGTACAGTTTTGCAAGTCTAATGTCACCCAATAAGGAATTTAATGTTGTGTGTAAGTGATAGAGTTGCTCCGTGATAAGCCACCCATCACTCCAAGGTCACATACCATTAGAGAGGATAGGGGATGTTTTCTGTTAAGTGCATAGGTAAAAATTCCAGGGCATCAAGGTGCTGAGCCAGAACGACCACCCATTTTAATTTTTGGAACATATGGTCGCTGCATGACAGGATATTGCCTCAGCTCAAAATTGGGATTGAGGAATATAGTCAGCTTTTCACATTATTCATCAGTGTGGACAAGCATGTTCTTTTTTTATCCTGGCAGTTTTTCTTCTGTATGAATATCTTGTTGCCACTTAAATTGGATACTAGTTAGCTATTGATCAGATCTTTTTTCAGGTTACTTTATACATGCTGCAGTACCAGTGTTTTGTAATTTTCATGAATCTCAAATTACAATTGTGTCGATAGTTGCTGTCAATATATAGTATTGATCTTATCTAAATATAAGTCAAGGTCACATGACATTCTCAACCCACCACAGCTTTCCTCTGCAGATTCAATAAAGGTTCCTACCTAACAGTCAAATGTATAATTTGTGACCTTTACCACAGAGATGACCAGTGTTGGAATAACTCATTTCATGATGAATGGGAATCCTATAAAAATGACCTTGAGAGCAGGTTTTTGTCGTATTCCCTCACAGATAAATGTTCCTGTAATTTTCAGACTAAACCTATCCCACCATGTCCAATTGTACAATATAGCTTTCACTAAGGTACCTACCTGTCTTCTATGGAAGGTCATGTTTGGTCACAGCCTGCCTTCTGCTGGTTATATATTTTTCTGAAAAATAATGGGATTTTACCTGTTTTAGTTTTATGTTTGATTTTTAACAAAGTACACTCTTTAAAGTGATACAAGTACAGTTTTACAACTAGAACTCATGCCTGTAGTTTACTTTTTTAAAGTTTGTCATGAATCATTCAATTATTCAGGACTAAACTGAGGTATTCTCTTCTTTCATCTGTAGATGAGTCTCTGTTACACCCCACACACCACGCCATGGGACTTCTTGGAGAGGTTACAAGTTCAGGATTACCACCTTCTCATTTACCAACCTCATATCACACTGCCTTTGAGAGTCTAGACTCACCTGGTCAACCTAACCATGAAGCTGGGACTGCTGACATTCTCTTTCAGCGGGGACATGTTCCTTCTGAAAGCTCCAACTCCTTCACGCCAAGTGACTTCCCTGCAAAAGAACCATATCCCCTTTCCACTCCATCATTAAGCCCATCTGAACATGCACTAGGGTCTAGTCCACAATTTGAGGAACCGGCTAATCCTCCCCCAGACTGGAGGCTGGCCAGGATAAATTCTGCCAAGCAATCTTCCTCTCTCCCTCCAACTCTTACGAGAGCCCAGCTACAGCCTCAGTCAAATATATCCTTAACATCATTAAACCCTACAACATCTCAGCTCAGCTTTAATTCTGAGCAGGAAGCTCTAGATGCAACTCTCATGGCTCTCACCAAGGAGCAGGGTGGCGCTTCAGAGCAAACCCCAACAATCATGAGCTCACAGCCTGGTCAGCCTCTTGAGCCCCCTAATCTGGCTTTCGCTGACTTTCTGGCAGATGAATCTTACAGTAAAACCTTTGACGTGCCCCAGCTGAGCCCCAGCAGTGCCCCCTTGAAAGAGAACAAACCAGCTCATGGCATAAATATTCTACCCAGCTCAAACGAGTTTCTGGCCCCTGGCTACAATGTGCCTTTCATTGCCCCCCACCTTACATCACCTTTATCTGAACCCACTGAGGTCTCTCCAGAGGAGTTCTACCCCACCAACACCATGGACTTCGACTGGGGGTCCGGTGACTACTTGGAGACAATGTCATTCCTAAATGCAGATGGAGATGACTACTCTATGGTCACCAAGGTACCCTCTGACTCATATGATGGAGAGGACTATACAGAAAGCTATGATACCTCTTTCCCTTCCAGAGTGGGCATATTTCCTTCTTCCTTGAATCCCCTTCACATCTCACCCTCTCCAAGCCTTGTGACAGCATACAGTACCAGCGTTCCTCTAAAATCCATCCACCCTTCCTCTTCTTCCTCCACAATTCATTATACACTGGAACCTACACCCACAGCTAACAGTGATATACCTGATGCCTCGGACATAGATTGGCTTGATACTTTCACAATCCAACCAACAGATGTCCTCTTACCTGACATGAACAGCCTGGAGTATTACACCATTCAGTTGACTAAGGAGAACAGTGGTTCAGACTCTGGAGCTGAACACAGAGGGAATGTTACAGTGGTGTCTCTTACTGCTACAGACGTCACACCCAGCAGCAGCTCTACCAATGATACCAAACTGACTGAGGAAGAGTCGTCCAGTGATCTGTCAGGGTTTGAGCCTCATCATGAATCAACTGTAGTAGTAACCACAGAGCAGAGTCCTCAGCTGGTCAATGTCTCTGAGCCGTTGCTGGACCTGTCAGTAGTCCCAAGCCACTTCTTTGATCTCTCTTCCTCCCTCTGGGGTGGTAAGGTATCAACCACAGACTGGTCTGCACCTACAGTTGGCCTGGACAGCACTGTACTAACAGAAGCTATACTACCCAGTGCCACGTCATCGCTGCCAGATTATGTATTATCTTCCTCCTCTATGCAAGATGTCCATTGGTTTGTTACAGAGGAATTCGTACAAAGTACCATGCACACCACTCCTGTGTTAACATCAACAATAGCCTTCTCTCCTGGCTCAACTGAACCTGTTACCAACACAACTGCTAGTGCAACCGGCTCTACTCCCCAACACTCATCTTTCACAACTGAACAAACTCATGATATCAGTGTAGTTTCAACCAAACCCACAACGAATGTGACTATCAGCCCCCCGTTCATCTTGGGTGATCAGGGGGTAGAAGATGAAGTTGACAACCCAGCCACCATGACCTTGATCCCAAATAGCAGTGAAGCTAAAACGATTGCTGCTGTACCATCAACTACAACTGCCACCATGGATTCTCATCAACCCACAACTAAAATCACTGCCACCACTGAAGCCTCAACTAGTATCAGCGTCACCCCTACGACAAGTGGAAAGACCACATCTACAGCACCAACATCAAGACAATATCTCTGCAATGTCAACAGTACTGATTATTTAGTCAAAATTGGTGAGTTGGACATTTCTTTTTGCAGCTATCTGTTAGATAGTGTTTGACGTATGACATACATCAGAATTGTGTCACATTGTCTTATAGTGGAGCAAGACCCTAACCACAGGTTTATTCTTTCTTCTGTAGGTTTTCCCTCCGGGGCCACTGTTGGATATGCCAAATCTCAAATCAGAGACATACTGAAAGTAGAATTCAACAAGTCTGTGGAGCTGCAGGTAATTGCATTGCTGTGGTAGAGTAAAGCTATTTTATTTATTTCAAAACCACAGTGTTCAAGATGTTAGTCTATTTCCGCAATTAAGAAAAATATACAATCTTAACATTGTACATTTTGACACAAGAACTGATTCTTAGGTGAATGGGCTTTCATGTGATGGCTCTTATATCCAGCATGTGTGTATGTCAGTTTTTGTGTGTGTATATAGTGTATTTATGTGATGACACATTTACATGACTGTGGTGCAGCTGAACCATGAAGGCTACACCACATCCTGAGTTTTTTAAAATCCTCTAATAAATAAACCACAGGAGTAGACCCGGAGTGACCTTTCAAAAGCCCCAGCTGCTTATTTAAGACGGGCTGTTGATCTGAGAATACATGGCCACTGAGTGATTTGTCTGTCATATATCTCTACTTTGTCTGTGAAGGTTGTGGACCCACCACCAAAGTTTATGTTTCGGGTGGTGTCTGGCCCAGTTGTGTACACAGCCATATCTGTCATCAACACTCTGCGAAGGTCTGGGCGCCGCTTCCTGTCTGTGTCTCCCAACTGGACAACACCAGATAATAAATATCAAGTCCACACAGGTAAGTGACCTTTGTATTTCAGGACACTACAGTGTCAGAATGTAAGATCTTGAGATAACTTTTTAACACTTGATCAAAAACTCTGCATGGTTTTCCTCTGCAGTGCTGCAGTTTGTTCCCAGTCACATTGATGTGCGGTTCTGCAACTTCAGTGAGAGCATTAAGAAAGGTTTGACCATGGCCTTTGCAGAATTGCGTCGCCGCTCAAAGGAGTCAACAAACTTCACAGTGCACGTGAGTGGAAGATGAAGCCAGGCAAAGAGTGTATGGACTTGTTATTTCAGCTGAGATGTTGGGGCAGCATATTTTTTGTTAAGAGTGAGATTTTCAATTTATTTTATTTTATTACAAAGCAGGTTATAGGTTTTATATAAGTACTGTGAATGATTCACTTTGCAAAAAAAGAAGCATGATTGAGGAGATGTAAAACTACATTGAAATGTTTACTGGTACTAAAAAACTGCTGCCCGATTTGACTTTGCCTGCAGTCACATCACCAGTTGATGACTGTGATAGCTGCAGCACAGGTTTCCTTTGATAGGGATACAGCTTGGTAAAGAGCAGCTGTTCTGCTTTGTCAGAATTGTTTAGGATTTGGGGTTACAGTAAATGCATGGTGGAAGAAAGGGTTTCCTGGGGAATGAGAGAAAACTAGTTAATTTAAATCAATACTTTCTGGAAGACCTAAATTACTAGTTAGGTTTGATTGAATTAGACTAATCTACCCAGCCAGCCATTTTCCATAATTTATTATGTCCATGGGGGAAGTAAACAAAATAAACATAGAAGCCAAAACATCAAACTCTTTAAACTTATTCTCTGAACTGGGTCCTTTCAGCACAAAAGAGAGGCTGTTCTACAGCGAGCCTCCTTTGAATGGCTAAGCAAAGACATCTAGAAAAGAAAGCTCATTTTGACCCACACTACGCAGACGTTAGGACCACAGAGGAGGGTTCAGGCACCTGCGTGTTTATTTTTTTCTTTACTTACTCTGACTGTGGACATCACAATAGTCCTCCCATGCACCTCTCTGTCCATCTTACTGCACTCATGAACAAGACCCCAGGATGCTTTACTTGGAGAGCTCGCTCTGAGGGAGTTCATGCTCTAGTTGCTGAGTATTAAAAAAGATTAGGTTGTTAATAAAGAAGTAATTTGGCTATGTGGTTAGTTGGCTTTAGTAGAGTTTTGCGTAATCCTATTACACTGATGGCTGTATTATAGTCTTTGAAATAAATGTAAGGATTAGAGCTAGGATTTGTGGCAGCATGAAAATGTTTCATGAACAACTAGCAATCTGTGCCCTGGGCCACACACAAAAACAACATTGTGTTCTGCTTTCCAGTCACCGAAGCCAACGATTTTCAGATTGGGAACTTCATTGTAGCCCTTTAACAGACATACAAGCTTTCCCAGAAACTGCATCAACAGCAGAATGGAACATGTACATTTTGTTATGTAATCATCTGTCTATGGGTCAGTACAGCCTTGTCTAATTGTGTTTCAGATTGTAAACATAACCATGGATGCTCCAAAATACCAGGAGCAGCGGCTAGTGAGGCAGCCGGTGGACATTACCTTCACTGTGCGTGGCTCTAGGGAATATCTGATGGGGTCCGAGGTCAGCAACGCTCTGATGAAGCTCACCATGGTGGAATTCAGCTATTACATGGGCTTTCCTGTACTGCAGATTGCTGAACGTGAGTACCGACAATTTGTCTCACTATATTTTTGCCATTTCCATGTTGTATTACTCTTCATAAACATAATTACGCCCTTTCCCCCAAATAGCTTTCCATTATCCAGAGCTGAACACCAGCCAGTTGCTTCGGTCCTCCTGGGTTAGAACAGGTATAATGGATTTTAGATCTTACTGTTATTACTTACAGCAGATATGAGATTATTTTATATATGTATAATGTTGTCTGTGCACATAGTGCTCTTGGGTGTACTTGACCAGAAAGTGGAAGAAAGAACTTTCCAAGCCAACATGGAGCGTCGAGTGGCCATGTTACTTGGCGAGGCGATGGGACAAGTCAGACGTGTTAAGAGAGCCACCACCATAGGCAACAGCAGCGTGCAGGTACGTCCTCTGCACCTAGCTTTAATGCTCAATACTAGATTTTAACTGCTTGTAAAGACAGTACTGACATGCAAAATGTTTCTCTGGAAACTGTTTAAAATACATTTATTTGTTGAATTACTTGTTTATAACAAAAAAGTGGGAGTTTCTAAATGGATTAGTCACTAAATCTTTAAAAATCTTCCTTCCTTGTACCATTTATAACACTGTTCCCTGATGCAAGCCCTCTCTCTAACCACCTTCCCTGAGCACTGAGGGCTCATTATGTGTGTTCGTAACCACTGAAAGCCGTACTGCTTTACTAATCAGGCTCTAGCTTTTGTGGGCTCGCTCCGCACCTGCTCGGCTCATCTCTTAGGGTACAGAATAGGGCTCGGTCACCATGGAAACACCATCCCATTTGCCCATGGGCCAGCCACTCAACGACGACAACATCACAAGTCCTTGTTCTTTCTCCTCTTCCTCATTTCTCTGGTCCTGTTACTTGATTGCTCCTGTGAGCCACAGAGCTGCTAAGAGCAGATCAATTATTAATTTCTCTCTCTCCGTCAGTATCTGACAGTCATGATGATTAAGACAGAGTGAGTGAGTGAGTGAGTGTGTGTGTGTGTGT